TCTAAGTATATGGTATAGTATCACACGTAAATATGATGGAAATAAAGGAGAAACTGGCACCCAAAAGCATGAAAATAGGTTCAAAATATACCTTATCAAAGACTGGTTAGCAGAACTAGAGAAAAGTAGATGATGGTTAAAAAGCAAAACCCCAAAAGCTCGATATAGCATCCATTCATGCATGGAAATTTTGCTAAGAGAAAGGCACTTTCTTTTCAAACACACATGAAGCTTTGACAGAACCAATCATGTTAATCCACCAAGGAATTCTTAGCAAATTTCAAAAGCAAAAATCAAAGAGGTTACATCCACTGCACAAATTCAATCAAAGGAGACAAGAGCAACAGAATGCTACCCCAAAGAAAATCCATATGTCCAGATGTTAAGATCATGTGTTTAATTAATTACTGGGTTAAAGAGGAAATCAAAATTAGAACTTCAATAGGAAGCATTCATAACAAAGCAAGACAGAATGTTGCTTCCATAGCTCCAACAGAGCAACCCCAAATACTGACTTGACACAGACACACAGGTTTCCAAAACGTGACATTCATGAATTTCCTAACGCAGCAAACAAACTCAGCAGCACTATGCAGGACTTCTAGGATAGACCTCAAAGCCAACAGCCTCTGAGTCACTCAGATGGGACAAGTCTTGAGTTTCATTAGCCAAATCCTCTCTCTTTCTCTTTTATTTTCTTGGGTTTTGTGCGTATTTGTGTGTAGTGTGTACACATTTGAATGCGAGTACACATGTGTGTGGGTGCATTTTTGTATTTGTGCTGGGATAGGTGCTTATGTGTGCACATGCATGGGGAGGCGAGAGACTGACAGAGTGTCCTCTTGGATTGCTTTCCACTTTATTTACCAAGTCAGGGTCTCTTGTTAAATCGAAGGTTCAGCAATTCAGCTAGTCTAGTTTACCAGGCAAGGCCCTGTCTCCACAACTATGCCCTGGGATTACAGGTGGCTTTCATGCCTATCTGGCTTTTATGTGGGGAGCTGTGGTTCCAAACCCCAGTCCTCATGCTTGCATGGTAAGAGCTCTCTACTGAGCATTCTCCAAAGCTGCCCAGCAACCTTCTTAAGAAGTAATCATGGGGCTTGACTTACAGATTTTCAACTTGGAGTTGGAGATGGCTCAGTAGTTAAGAGTACTTACTGCTCTCACAAGGGATCTGGATCAGATCCCAGCACCCATGTGGTAGTTCACAACCATTCTGTTCTCCAGTTCCAGGGGATCTGATGCATTCTGCTGATCTCCGCTGGCACCAGGTTCACACTGGGTATATGCAAACTCATACAGGCACACACACATATACACACAAATGTAAAAATTGTAAAGGTTTTTTAGTTTTAGCATGATGAGAAATGGACTCATATATTCATTCTGACCCCCATTTTCAGTACAGCATTCCATAAATCCCATGAGACTTGCAAGACGTTATGATAAAATAAGCTGTGTATCAGATGGTTTGGCTCAGCTGTAGGCTAACACAAGTGTTCTGACAACACTTAAGGTGAGCAAGGCTGAGCTGTGCTGTTCAACACATTAGTGGTGTAAATGTACTTTGGAGTTAAATTGTGTTTATATTAGTGTCATAAACATATCGTGGTGGGAAAATGTGCTTCGTTTACAATGGTCTGATCAGGATATAGCCTCACTGTGGGTTGAGAATCTTCTATACTTTATTACAGGCAGTCATACCAATGATTAACAACCAGAGACAGTGCACAGACAGCTGAGTTCCATGCCTGTGCACTGCTCTTATATCACAGAATCAAGATAGGACTCATCAGGGTGGTGTGCGCACAGGACAGAGGACTTTCAAAGACACCCACCATTGGATCCTCTTCTCACCTAGTGTCCTACGTGTGTAGTTTTTGTCCGTATGTGTCCTGTAGATATTTCTCTTCTGTGTTATGGAGACAGACTAGAGGATTTTCTCTGCTTTACCCTTCCCAGCCTCCTTCAGATCCTCAGTTGCAAGAAGAGCAACCACTGGAAGGCGCTGTATTCCAGGACCAGGAGTCAGCTCCACAGGCCTGTGACTCTCCTCTCAGCAGCTCTGCTGCTCAGTCTCAGCCCCCAGCAGGTGTTGACTGCTTCTGTAGCCTTGGGGGGCAGGGAGGTGGTGGAAGGGGGAATTGGGGAGCCTTCCAAGGGGGAAGTCCTGGTAAATCCTCTTAAGTTTCAGCTTCCCCAGTGAGGGAAGGATGTTTACAAACTGAGACTCATGAGCTTCCCCTTCATTCCTGGGCAAAATTCTCCAACTCCCAGGAAGCCGCTGGGCAACAACTTTGAAGTAGTGGTTTTACACACATTTTTCATTCATAATCATGACAGCTACAAAGAGCCGAGTTTCTAATTTCTACGCATTATTTTATATCATGCAGAATGACTGGGAACAGATGCCTGAATCAACGAGTGTTATCTGTAGTTTCACATTAAAAACCTGGTTCCCAGCACAGAGGTGCAGACACAGACCTAACTTATAAAAAATGAAGAGGAAGTTTAGCTGATTCCTGATGATAAGTAACAATAGATGAACATAGCACAAAAGGCGTTTTACCTTGCTGCCATGTCCAATTCCTTCAGTTTTAACCACGCACATTTAAACTCAGAGATAACGTGCTTTCTGTTCAGTTTTCTCTCTAATCTCTAGGTGGTTATTAAGAACCTTATCAGCAGTACCGTGTATTCAATCATTCCATTACAGGAAAATATTTTACTGAAAGATCAGAAATTGCATTTTACCTCTTTCTAGCAAACTACATGAAACTGATCATTTACAGAGCTCAACATAGGGGAGGTACTTGGATAAATGAGCTGTCAGAAAAGAAGGACGAAGGGGTGAGAAGACATGTACATCATCTCCTCTCCTGCTTCCATGCCAGACTGCAACTCAGGGCCAGTTTCTAAAAACCTCTGAGACCATTTCCTCTTTCTATAGATATCATTTCACCATTCTCTAGGCATATCAACTTTAAAAGGGGAACTTCGCTCTAAAGAGTACCTCTATCTCTCTGCTTTAAAAGTTGAAATAAGTTTCTTCCACTTTAACATGCTTTCCAAAAAGTGTATGTGTGTGTGTGTGTGTGTGTGTGTGTGTGTGTGTGATGTGTGTATGATCTGTGTACTTATGTAAACATAGTCATGCATTCCTCAGTGTGTACATGTGCATATGTGAATGTATATAGTGTGTATGATCTGCATACTTGTATATGCACAGTGAGGTATTCCTCTCCTCTCTTCTCTTCTCTCTCTCTCTCTCTCTCTCTCTCTCTCTCTCTCTCTCTCTCTCTCTCTCTCTCTCCCTCTCCCTCTGTGTGTGTGTGTGTGTATGTGTGTGTGTGTGTGTGCATGCCTCTGTGTGTATGTGTGTATGCCTGTGTGTGCATGTGGTGGGGGGTATATGTGTGTGTGCCTATGTGTGCCTGTGTGTGTGCATGCCTCAGTTTGTGTGTGTGTGTGTGTGTGTGTGTGTGTGTGCATATGTGTGTGTATGTGTGTGTGCCTGTATGTGTGTGCACAAGCCTGTGGAGATCAGAGGACAGCCTCTGTTGGTCCTCACTTTCCCCTTTGCTTGAGACAAGTCCCCTTGATGCTTGGCACAGTGTGTAGCAGGCTAGCCCTATGAGCATCTGGGATTTCTCCTGTTTCTGTCCCCCACATACCTAAAGGAACACTAGAACCACAGGTGCACAGACTTTGGGAATCTTAACTCAAATCCTCACACTTGCATGGCAAACACTTTAGCTACTGAGCAATTGACCCAACCCCAAGAAGCCTTTTTTTCTTTAAAGAATGAGTTTTGATTCATTATTTGTGTGACTGATAATGCAATTCACTATTCCGCCATGTAGTCAGAGATGAATAAAACAATATCTGTTTTCAAGGATATTTTACTATATCAATATGTACTATGAGCTTAATAACCTGACCCCATAAATATTTTTATTTTGCATTACACATTTGTTTGTAGGTAATTACACACACACACACACACACACACACACACACACACACACACACACACACAAATACATGCCATCGTGAAGAAGTCAGAGGACAACTTGGAGGAGAAAGTTCTCTTCTTCCACCATGTGGACCCCAAAGATTGGACTCAGGTTGTCAGGGTTGGAGGTGTGAGAAACAAGACCCTCTTTCTATAACCACATTCAAAAGACCAGTGAAAACAAAGCAGTGCTTACTGTATCATTCTGCAGAAAGGGTCATAGCACAGAAGAAGGACAAAAATGGCTGACCTGCTGATCTTACACAACACTGTGATTTTTAAAGGCCCTGGTTGCGAGAAATTCCTGCTCTTTTCCCCATAGCTTGGTGCTTTAGAGAGTTAAAAATCTCTGCAATCTTCTCACACAGCCCGGTTCTCAAACCTCTCATCCTGTTGATTCCAGGTGCAAAGCCTTATCCAATGAATACTCTGGGCCTTGAGACTGCTCCCTTTTCTGATTGTGGATTCAGCCACAGAACAACCTGCCTACAAGTTTCTAACTCTCGGAAGAGTTCTAAGACAAGCAGACTCTGGCCAGTCTAGGTTAGGGGAGAGCAGCCAAGAACCTCCTTCTTATCTGTGGTGACTTTGATGAGCTCTAAGCATGTTTTCTATAAAAATGGACCAAAACAATTTATTTCTTACAGCAGCAAGCACATTTGTCCTCTGAGTCATCTCACTGGCCACAGATAAAACATTTTGCAAAATAAAAATTAGACTTCTGTTGTGAGATGTGCCATGATGTTAAACTAGGGGCCCTCTGCTGTATAGGTCAGGGTGCTGTCACAGAGGGAGACTATGACAATCTAAGTTCCTCAAGGAAACGACATCAGAGTTACCAATGATTTTACTTTTTTTTTTTACCCCCTTTGGGCATGGCATGATAACTCATTGCTATTTTTGAAAAGAGATTGCCTCTCTTTGGTAACCATGGCAACTAACTGAACAATAGATGGTAGCTATGACTGAACAAAACCAGATAGCTAGATCCATGGTAATGTTAATGGAGCTTAAAATACTTGCTACAAGGAACTAGGTGAGGAGTCAGCTGCTACTCTCCCTCTAGCCCTTCCTCAGCAGTCTTGGGAAATGCTAAAGTGTACAGAAAGAGGGAGATTAATGAAAGGGGTGCTCTATGATGCAGCTTCCATGAGTCCATCACCCATGATGATGTGGGTCTTTGTGGTGAGGCCACCTCCACACTTTGGTAAGTAACCCCAATCAATGGAATCATTCCTTTGGTCAGTCACAAGTTCTTTATCTAGGGTGAATAGACTTCAGTTCTCTACCAGCACCATCCCCAGGAAAAGTTTAACAGAACCTCTTAATGGAGACTGTCATAAGCCACCCGTTCCTCTACATAGTGATAGTGCTCCCTGGAGAACTCTGACATTAATGCATCATGCATTAATTCATGATGGGTAATTGCATAATCCATCATGCAAATTCTTCAGAAAACGGTACTTTTCCTAACTGGATTATATTTTCTTTATGTATATGTATATTATGATATATGTAAATACTGTTAGTTTGTATGATATGTGTGTGTATGATATGTGTGTATACTGTTTTTGTGTATGATATGTGTATATACTGTTTGTGTGTATATGTGTGTATACTGTTTATGTGTATGATATGTACATGTACTGTTTGTGTGTATGATATGTGTATATACTGTTTATGTATATGATATGTGTATATACTGTTTGTGTGTATGATATGTGTGTAGACTGTTTGTGTGTATGAGGTAGATATGCATATTTCCACACATGGTGTATGTGTGAAGGACAATCTTGGGTGTCAATCATTGCCTTTCATATAGCTTGAGTCAACATTCTTAATTGTTTTGCCACTGTGTGCACAAGTCTAGCTGCCCTGTGAGTTTCCGGGGATTCTCTACCTCCATACACTCCATTCATCTTGCATTAGGAGCATTGTAATTACATATTGGTGCTATACCTCAGAATTTTCATGGGTTCTGGAAATCCAAGCTCAAGTTTTCATGCTTGTGTGGCAAGGCCTTACCCACCAAGCCATTTCTCTACTTTATATTTTATATTCTAGAATATTCTATACTTTAAAAATCATGCTAAAGTTGGCCTACTACTTTCATCTTAAGGCAGGAACACTAATGTATTAAAGCTCTCAGTTAGTTCTAAGCCACTGACAAGACCCAGCTTGGGTCTCACTTCCTCTAGGAAGATTTCTCAGTAGCACAATTTTCTTCCTTGTTGAATGCTGTACAGTGAGTCTTCAGTAGAATAATGAGTGACAGATGATTGAGTAGCCTAGGGAAAACTACCAAAGGCAGCCCAGTCATTGTCTTCATGATGCAGGAACTCCTTCTCTGAATCTGTCACCCTGCTGGGACACTTGATGAGACAAAGCTATGAACAAGTGGCTCTGGTCCTCTCTCATAGAAGGAGGTGGACCTATTCAGGTGAAACCCTTGTGTATAAGCCATGTCCCCTGAGAAGGAATCTACCTTCATATTCACAGATTCCTAAAATACCAACAAGAAGAAAGGACACAAAGACCTTCAAAGAACTGGTGTTAGTGGTAATTCTCAACTTGACAGAATCACCTGGAAGAGCATGCTCTCTAGTCATGCTGGTAGAGGATTATCTTGATTACATTAGTTGAAGTGGGAAGACCCACCCACTGTGATTGGCAGCATTCCCAAGATGGGATACTTTAGCATCTATTCACTGCTCTCTGCCTCCAGATTACAAAAGTGATGTGGCCCAATGTCTTCAATTCCTGCCACCTTCACTCCCCCTTGTTGATTTTTCTCTCAGAGCTTTACCACAGAAAAGGGATTCAGACACATGCTAGTTAAGCATGCTTTCATCCCAGTGCAGGATGCCCTTCGCTCTCTCTACTTGCTAATCTGGTTATTAGCTCTGTCTTTTCTGAAGAACTCCTTCACTTCCTGGACAACTTCGCTCTGCTTTGATAACAGGGTGTAGACTTCATTCTTCAAAACTCAGGTGAGATTTTTACCCTTTCTGTGGTGATAACCTTATTTTCTCCCAAAAACTTAGAAATAAAATGCATCTCTTTACTCCCATGGAGATTGATTTTGTCATGGTTTGTCATTGAAATACCATTGTTTATAGAAAGGATAGAGATGTCACCTCACCTCTTTCCCTCACCTGCCTGTTAAGAAAGTATTCTTTGAGAAATTCATACATGTATACATAGAAATGTGATCTTACTCACTTCTCATTTCCCACTTCAACTTCCTCTGGATGTTCCCAATTTCATGTCTTTTTTTTTAATAACCCAAAAATTCCAATTAATGCTACCAACATGCACATGGGCATGGGATAATTCACTGGAGCATGAGCAACTTACCAGTGGCTGTACCACAGAAGAATGACTCTCCCTCTTCAAGAAGCAATCAACTGTCTACAACTTCTCTGTTAGGAGTGGGTAAGCTCCTTCCCATCTGTGCTAAAATTTTGGCTGGTTTGATCTTGTGCAGATCCTGTGTAGGCAACCACAGATGCTCTGAGTCCATGAGTACAACAGCCTGCCACTTCCAAAAGACAGCACTTCACAACACTCTTCTCCATCATCCGGCTCTTAAATTCTTTCTACCTGCCCTTCCATTATGCTCCCTCAACAACTCTTGCTAAAAATATCAGTCACGCACACCCCTGAATGCTCCCTGACTCAGTTATTCCTATTGTTCAAAAGACTTGCATAGGATGCTTAGCCCTCTCCAGAAGAGCTCTATGTGGCACACTGTACCTGCATCATGGTCTTCTTGAGAAACCTAAGACAAATCTCTGAGACTGAAGCCCTCAAGGTTTGGCATATCTCCTGACTGACCCAAACTCTTACCTTTCTTGATCCTAAAATCTTGATAACAGTGTAACATGTTCCCAGGCCTCTCCCTTTACCCTCCACATATGATGCACTTCATCCTTCATTCTTATGGAACTTTTCATTCCCTGGCTCCTGTATCCCCTGAAACCATCTCAAGTGTGAACTCTGTTTCTCCCACAACATAGGACAGTTTCCCTCTTGATCTTCATAGTTTCTCATTGACAATCTTCTGGCTCACTGAAGACCCCATGATGCTTAATATCAATTGTCAACTTGACATAGATCTAGAATCACCTAGGACATACATAAGAATTTTCTAGATTGGGTTAACTGAGATGGGAAAGCTGACCCTAAATACAGTGTCATTCCATGTCTGGGATCTCAGAATGAATAAAAAAGGGAAAGAGAGCTGAACATTAGCATTCACCTCTTTCTCACTCCTGACCGAGAATGCAATGTGACTATCTGCCTCCAGATATTGTCACAATGACCTCCCTGACATTTTGGACAGCACCTTCAGACTGGGAACCAAAATAAACCCTCCATCCCCAAAGTACTTTTGTCATAGCAATAAGAAAGACAGCTAATGCTGACTTCTAACTCCTTTGAAACACATCCTATCAGCTGTAGAACTCACCCTCTCTCCTAGCACTGTTTCCTGCTCTCTTCCTGGCCATTTTCCCCATATCCTCAAGATTCTGATTCTGGATCACTGTCTTTTTCTTCTTCATTGCCTCTATCACATTTTTTTGGTGATTTTAAAACCCTCAGTCAATGTTCCTAATACTCCTCAGTTCCTTTACCATCTCATTGCCCATGAGTTTACTTTTCCTCTCTTGTCAAGTTGTCAGCCACTTATCCTCACTCTGTTGTTGTGTTGTATTTTTCTATAGTGTCAAAGTGTTGGTGAATCAGATTTTAAATTATGTAAGATAAAATAAAGTAAAAAAGGACATTGCAAGGTCTGATGCTGAAGTATGGAAGCCTAAGACTTGTTTCACCATGAATTGCTTAGGTTATCTGCATGTGTACTGAGTCAGATGTGAAAAAGATCTCACTTGCATTGTACCATGGCCAAACATGACTGCAAACATGTACTGCAGAGATGTGTATCACCCATGACCACCTACAGGGTACATCACCCATGACCACCTGCAGGGTACATCACCCATGACCACCTGCTGGGAACATCACCCATGACCACCTCCAGGGTACATCACCCATGACCACCTGCAGGGTACATCAACAATGACCACCTGCAGGGTACATCACCAATGACCACTTACCATCAGTACTTTCTGTTGAAGACTCCTCAGTCTCTACTACTCCTTCGATGAATTTCTGCCTCCTTCTCTGTCTCTGTCTCTGTCTCTGTCTCTGCCTCTGTCTCTGTCTCTCTCTCTCTCTCACTCGTATCTCTGTATTTATTATATAAATGTTTTTTAGTACAAAATAAGTGATAGGTACAGTGCTAGGTGACAATATACAAAGGAGAGTGGAGCACAGCATTTTTTATTGTTATCAGCTTACATGATATGGTAGAGAAAACAAGTGTGTAGTGGTTCCTCTATAAATCTGTACTATTTTGATGATGACCATTTAGGTATAGGGTTTGCATTATGTATGTTGAGATAAGGTTGGGTAAGCTATCTAGTTCCCTTTGTAACCCAAATTGTCCTCAAATCTGTGATCCTTCTGCCACAGTTGTCTGAGTGATGGCATTACAGGTGTGATCTACCACATCCAGCTTCAAAATTATTACAATTTGTTATTGTTGTTACTCTTTTGATACAGGATCTCATGTATCCCAAGCTGGCTTTGAATTGCCCTTTGGAGTGCTAAGATTTAGGGTATGTACCACATGCCCAGCCTATTACAGACTTTTTATTGTGAATTTCACATGCACACATAATGTTTTTGAAAAATTCCACCTCCATTCTTCCCTTGATGATTCTTCCCCTACCCCCTGATATCCATTTTCCCCTCCCAACTTCATGTGCACTTTTAAAAAATCTCACTGAGTTCACTCAGTGATGCTAGTGTGTGCATAGGTGTAGGACCACCTGCCAAAGCATGGGTAGCCTCTCATGGAGTGCATCCCTAAACTGACTCTCCTAGCAGTCACCAATTGTTGATTTTCTTACTCATTCTTCTATCTCAGCCACAACAGTTCTCCACCACACCGAGACTCCTGGTCCAGCAGGCCTGGTGCTTACTTTTCCCCTTGTTGAGCTGGAAATCTATGGTCAGTTCTCCCAGATATGCCCTTCACACTGAGATCTTCCAAGGCAGTAGCATATCCCAAATGTCCTTCATTCCTGGCATCAACACCATGCCTGTCACGAAGCTGGTGTTTATAATATATTTTTCAAA